TCGGCGGTTTTAAGGCGAATAAAACTTCTTTTGGAACTTAAATCTAAAAATTGGACAGCTCAGGGCTGCTGAGACAGCACCTGAAAGACCGAGCGCACGTTGAGACCTGGGGCGTCTCTCACAGAAGTTGTTTTGGGTACATGTTCACGTAACCCTGTGCATGACAACACCGAGGAGGCGTATTTTATTTAACAGTATTTTGTATATTTTATTTAATAACAAGCATCGGAGGCGTTACCGAGAAGTGCGTAACAAAAGACCAGCCCTGCCCCCACTGCACTTTAAAAAATTCATTTCTACCACATAAAGGGGAGTTTTGGACCGAGGTCACATTACTTTCGAAAGTATTTTTTTAAAAAAAATCCTATTCCTTGCTGTTGAAAGTAAGTATGCTGAATTAAGAAAAAGCTATTTTTTATGTGTGCAGGTGCATATATACATACATATTAAACAGTGCTTCTAAAGTTACATTCACACTTACCTGCCTTCCATGGAGTGCCTGTGAGGGTACAGTGATGGGGTGCTAGTGTCGCTAATGAAGAACATAAAAGAGTTCAAGTAATCCTTCACTGCTTGCTAACTGACTTATTAGATAGGCAATCGTCCTCTTCATACCCCACTGTTGTAAGAAACAGGTCACTACACTGGGTACAGTATTGTAATCTTTTCTTGCAAATTTAGTGCAAAGAATTTTCAGCATTCATTCATAAACCTGTTAAAATACTAGTCATTCGTACCTTCTTAAAATGCATAAATGCAAAAAAAGTGTGATAATTTTTGCTTTTAAACACTTAAAATGGAGAGAGCAATCGTTGTGTCATGAGTTAATAAAATTTCCTTAAGACTAAATTCCAGAGAAGCTGTACATAAAATTATTTAGTGCTAAAAATCTACAATACATTTTTCAAGTATAAGATACTGAAATATTATTGCCAATAAATAGTTGTGCTGTAGTCAAAGCCATGGTTCACCTGCTGAATCATTCACATCTCAACATATTAGGATTTAGTTTTTCACTGAGTTTATGTATTAAAATCGCTAACTCTTCTGTTGCTTGGGACTTATCTTCCAAAAGTTCATAGCGAAGACTGGAGATATCTTGCTTGATTTCCTTTAATTCACCTGTATTAATCATTGAAAGAAATACTTGTTAGCAAAGTTTGTTATATGTTCATAAAATAATGTTCTGTCAAGAAACACCAGAGCCTATTTCAGAATTATTTCCATATGCTTATCCCAAAATGTTGCCGAGAGCAGGGGCAGCAGCAACACTCAGCGTGTGAGAATGTGTCCACCCCTGGATTGTGCCCAAGGTATTTTCATAATCCAGCACACGCTACTAATGTTGTGTTTCACAGATACACCGAATATCAAATACTCACAAATCCCTTTATATAGGTTAATGAATTAATCACAGCAACACCGCTGAGCAGCTGGTAAATATTAGTATTTATCCCCCCCCACTTCAGAGAGAAAAGGCAAAGAGATTTTTTTCTGAAGTGATATGCTTAGAACAACACAGGAAAAGTGTGGCAGAGCTGGCAATAAAACTCACAGCTTCTGAGTCTCTCTCCTCTTCCTTAACAATATCCTTTGAATTAGAAAAAGTCAACCAATTTAATATTATGATAGAAGCCAACACAGGCACCAACACCCCAGCTAACTGGGAACCACCTTAGTCAGGAAACAGCCGTCAAGGCCAGGTTTGTAACAAGCAACTGGACATTCATTATATGCTCAGATCAAGAAAGGAAGGTTTTTGTTTGTTTGTTTGTTTTTAATTCTACTATTCTTGGAAATATTAGGCTTACTAATTCTTACATGGTATCCTCTGCAGGAAATTGTCATGTATGAAACAGTACAAGAGAATACCTAAGGTACCAGCAAGCCTGGCAAAATGCTGTCTCTGCTTTGCAGCCAAGCCTGCAGTTCAGGTGTTAGCCAGCTTGCACAAAGTGGACTTGCCTCTAGGAAAAACATGATGTACATCATGATTTTTCCACACATTAACTGCCTTACTCATGTGAGTGTGTGTATATAAATACCCATGCAGGCATCAGGGCATTGGGAAGACCTGAACTCCACAGTTATTAGTGAGAACATGTGGTCTTTGGATTCCTCCAGCTTACAGGGAACAAAACTATTGTTGGCACAGTTACTTGCATCTTCAAAGCACAGAGCTGGCCCTGAAAAGGTCATTAGTCTATAACCTCATGATCTTTCCCTAGAGAGCAGAGTGCTGCCCTCATCCTGACTACTTCATTTCGAGATTTGCCCAGACCTCATAAGGGTTTGTTCTGTGTTGTTGTTGTTGTTTTACCCCTCAGGCTTGCATTTCATTGCTGGAAGGCAGGAGAAAGGGGGACTGTGTGCACCGGAGTCATCCTCCAACTGGGAGTCAAGGTGTGTGTCTGGCGTGGCAAAAACTGCCTCTGAATGCTACAACTGCAGTGTCTCTTACCTTCATTTACTTCATCATTTTCTTTGTCCACTTGTGCTTTCAAAACATAACGTTTTATCAGCCTCTTCATTATTTGCTGCCAGATTAAAAACAGTTATACAATCAGATAAGCATTTATACTGAACCTCTGCTTACTTTCATTTATGAACAGTATTTCTCACTTCCTCATAAGCAAAAGAATTATCAGCCCTAGATGAAGCAGTTGTCTTGTATGGGCTTTTTTTGTGTCATACACATATTCAGCATTCCAACAAAGCACCTTTCTCACTGTTACCTCTTATTTACAGGATATCACCACTGATTGCAGGGAACATGGACAATATAGAAATATTGAATGTAGTTTCATTTATTTTAATGCAGTGTAACAGAAAGAAACAAGGACATTTGGCTTAGTGTGAACAGCTTGCATTTTCAGAAGTCACCAGATGTGCTGACAGAGGTTTATACACTACAGGATGTGCAAACCCAATGATACGGATTTAACTACCGTGTATATCATTACCAATGTAAAATTGCAGGGATGAAAGAAAATCTGTATTTTGTCTAGCACTTTTCTGCCATGATCTTGACATCCTTAGCACATGTCCAGCCACTTGTATGGTGATATCGAGGATCTTATGCAACACAGAATTCTTCCCTAAACAAAACCCTCTGAGCACCAGCACTAGCATATGGTGCCAGATCTGCTGTAGTTATTTTGGCCAAGAACAAGCTCTAGGTAATCAAGTATGCCACAGCTGTTCTGGGCATTAGCTGACCATACCTGTTCTTGGCATCGACTCCTGGCTCCCCTTCTCTTATTCCAATATAAATACTCTGAAAAGGGCTGCTTAGAGTGGTTATGGTATCTTTAGAACCTGAGTAGACCAGGCCTTGGACATTCTGACCTGGAGCAGGAGGCTGGACTAGATAATATACAAGGGTCCCTTCCAATCTAAACTGTCTATAATTCTATGAAATAAAGGGTATGAAATAATTACTTAGTTTATGTGATGCACAATTAATACAGATATCTATCTACTTTCACACACTTCCGTTACTCAGCAGTGGCCAGTGTACGTACTCACCTGGTACCGTGTTGGCTGATTGAGAATACTGTTAAAACTGTGTGATTCAAAAACCCTGGAGTTCGACTGAGTGAAAAGGTTTAACTAGGAAACAATGAAACAAAATTCAAACACTTATGGAATTCATAGTTAAAAGTCATCTGCCTTTTTTTTTCTTTTTCTTGGAGATGTTTCTGTATTCACTACTTTAGAAGCTTATTTTCAAAAGAAAACACACTGATTGCCTGATTGCCTTGATTTATTTTTTTAAACACTGCTCTTTGCAACGATCCTGCTCACAGCATAGCTTCAAAGCAATTGTGCTCACAGAGTTCAGAAGATTACCACTTGAAGGCAGGAATGAATGACCAGATCAAGGAAAGACTCTCTAAAGTGTCTTTGGCAAAGGGTTATTGTCAAACTGCACCCTTAGGCACACACTCAGCTACAAGAAAGCTCAAAGCCATTTCTGCCCAGGTCAAAGTAGCTGCAAAGTGGTTCTTCTGAAGCACAGTTTTCAGGAATAGCAATACCTTTAGAAAACTGGTCCCTGCTCAGTTGTCAGAGGATCAGCTGATTCCATCACAAAGGCATCACATTCCCTCACACATTGCCTATGCTGGTGAAAGGAAAAACTAGCTCTTCATACTAGGAGTTGTGGTCTATGAAATTCAACTGTACGGTGGCATCTCTCCAGCAGAGGCTGAAGGCATTTTTTGTTCAATATTTAGGTCATTCCACATGGGAATTACTTGCATCTTTGATGACTCAGTTATTTTTGTTAAAACTGTGTTTTTGCAAGTGACAACATGAATTATAGATCTATAAATATAAATGCTTAATCATCAGAATTATATGCTAATAATTATTAATTAACAAATTATCTGCTAAAATGGAAAGCAGAAAGCTGAGTTAGAAAAATAACTCATGACTACATTCAGAAGATTTTAGTACCTACCCTAGATTTGGAATTGCCCATTCCCATTTCAATGTCCTTCTGCAGCCGTCTCCTCCTGCACTTAGAAAAGTTAATGATCCTCATGATGAAATAGAAAAAAGATTTGGGGCTTGGTACAAGACTGAACGGTGGAGGTAATGTTTTTCCATCATCAAAATATGACAACCAGAGTTTAGAACGGGCAAATTTCCATTCTACATCACTGTCGTCCTGCATTAAGACACAAGACAGGGATGTGCTTTGTTTTCATGATATGTAAAACTCCTTCCAAATTAAAAATCTTTTAAATATCTAACTTTATGTAAAATAAAAATGTCACTTACTTACAAGTAAGATTCCTAGTAGTTCTGCAAAAATGCAACTGCTTTATTGAATCTACTTTAACTAAAATTCAGCTGGGTCTCTTTATGTCAACATCTCATTACTGGTACTTAGTTCAAGCATGTGAACTATTTAAACATGAGTTATTTTTGCACAGAATGAAAGCTAATATATTAACCCTCTGCTATTTATAGAAGAACATTTTTTAAGCCTTTTTTTCTTCTTTTCTTTAAATTGGCTACATGAACTTTGTACTCATTCAAAAGGAGCAATTCTATTGGCTTCCAGGCATGCGCAGTATAAACTATTAAGATTTCACAGCTTTTTACATAACTATGAACACAAACCATGACTTACAAAGTGTCAAATTTGTTTTCATGAAGAAATCTCATCAAAAACTGACAGACTGATTTTGTCCTCATACTTTCTAACCAAAGTTTTACCAGTCTGAACTTGATTTCAAGTCATACCTCAATCTCCTGATACGAACTGTTGATCATAGCAATCAGCATGTTGAGCAGAACTACAACCATCGTTACATTGTATATGCCATAAAGAACATAACCAATGTTCTCTATGAATTTATGATCGTATTTGAGGACAACCGAGGTTACTTCAGACAAGCCAAATATTGACCAAAATAAAGTCTTGAAACTTTCTTCCACTCTGTATGAAAAGAGGAAAGCGTTATTACTAGTTACACAAATAAAAGCATAAGCTGTGTTTAAAACAAACAATAAACAATCTCCAGTAATGTGTCCATGACCCAAGTCTGTAGCAATTTTAATTTAGGCATTGATCAAAATAAGATCCTTAAGATCTAAGAACTAAGAAAACGTGTTCACAGACTGCCTGAATTCTCCACTGTGCTCCAACACATCACACGTACTAAAGCTGTAACACTGGTAAAGCAAGCAAAATTCATTCAGGTACTCAAAAATATTTGTCAAAGACTGAAAGCTCAAT